CACACACACACACACACACACACACACACACACACACACACACACACACACACACACACACACACACACACATCCTGAATGCTTCACAGACTACAGAGTAAGAACAAAACTAGAATGTAAAAAATGGCTCATAGCGATGTAATCTGACTCAGAATAAGGCCAGTCTCTCAGCAGAGCTGACTTGTACTGTCAGGAGTTTGGATCAGAGATAGCAAACCTCGATGAACCCCGTCACTGTTCTCTTGTCAATCAGAATGATAATTAGCTCTCTCCCAATATATCTCTGCATTCAAATCATCCTTTCTGTGCACATAATTACATTGTGCAGAGCCTCCAAGTACTTCCTTTAGTGCAGCAGAATTTATCATCCCACATCAGAGATAAAACCTCTTTATCTCCGCTTGGCAAAACCCGCCGTTTGTCTCAAAGGCGGGAGCGCTCACACCTCACATTCTATGGATCCGGATATAGTGCACGTGCACGGCCTGTTCTCGGTCACCAAGGCATCCAGCGTCTCTGAGTTTGAATGATAACTCAGATAGTACTCTTGCAGCTGAGAGTTAAGGTCCTGCTCCTGCTTGCGGGCCTTTTTCCTGCGCTTGTGGTTGACTGAGTGCTCCTGCAGCTGCCTCATGGTGTTAGGGTAGCGCCTCCACGAGACATAAATAACCAGCAGGATCAATGACAGCGACAGGAACAGGGCTACGCTGCCTGCAATGATTTTATGGAAAGCCATATGTTCAAACTGTAGCTCTGGGATGAAGCTTGTAGGGCTTTCAGCAGAGAAAGGAGGCGTAGAGCTTACAGCTGGGGGCGCTGATGTCTTTCTGTATGTCCCAGTTGGACGGACAGGTGAGGTGGTTAATTTCGGGGAAGGTGACGCAGTGGGAGTCGGCTCCGTAGCTCCAGAGGACCACGCCGTGCTGCTCCCAGCGTGACCTGAGCTCAGTGGGACGAGCGTGGTGGTGGAAAACGGGCTGAATACATCCACGCACATCGAGTGGTTCCTCACCACGTCCACCACGCGCTCGCCCTGCACCGCTTTGGGCCCGCTGCAGATCATACTGATGTCTTTGGGGTCCCTGAGGGTTCTGAGCCAGCCCATGAGAGGGCAGATCSTGGCGCTGCAGTCCCAGGCGTTCCCGGCCAGGCTGATGGTGGTCAGAGAAGTCCACGCCGCCACGGCTTCCACCGGCACGCTGCTCAGCTTGTTCGACTCAAGGTTGAGGGTTTCCAAGTTTGGCATGTACTGGAAAACCTTTGGGTCCAGCGTTTGGATTTCATTCCCCGACAGGTCCAGTTTCTGAAGCTTCTGCCATGTCCAGGCCACGCCTTGGCTGATGGATCGGATGCGGTTCCACTGCAAATAAAGAGTCTGGAGGTTGGTGAGGCGTGGGAAAATGTAGAAATTAATCCTGGAAAACTGATTATGCTCTAAGTGAAGCTCCCTCAGCTTGAAGAGCCCTAAAAACGTAGTGCGGGTCAAACCGCGCAAGCGGTTATAGCCCAAGTCTAGAAACTCCAAGCTGCGGCACTCCAGAAACGTGCGAATGAGGATTTCTTTCAGCCCGTTCGATCGAAGGTGGAGGTTCTGCAGCTTCCGCAGGCCGTAGAAGTGACCTGGCTGCAAAGACTGGATTTGATTGTAGGATAAATCCAGGTTCCTCAGGTTCGGTATGGCGCTGAACGTTTTGTTGTGCAGATGGGTGATTTTGTTGGAGCTGAGAATCAGCTCCTTGAGCCTGCGCACGCCGCGGAAGGCCAGAGCGTCTATGGCACTRATGGCGTTATGGTCCAAGTAAAGCCAGACGAGCTGATTGAGGTGGGCRAACTGGTACGGCAGCAGCACCAGCAGGTTGTTATAGCGCAGAGACAGTCCTTGGCATCCCGTCGTGATGTTTACTGGAATGTCTTGGAGATCGCCAGACTCGCAGTAAGCAATCTTGCCTTCGCAGCGACAACTCGCGGGGCACATCCTCTCCCCCTCGCTGAGCAGCAGCAAAGCAGCTGCCTGCAGAAGAAGACAAGAGAACCTCCAGTCCAACATCACAGAACCTGTTGGGGGGTAGAGAGCGGGGCACAGGCAATCAAAGGCATGACTTTGGCTTCAGAAACTCTTTGCCTAACGAGTAAAGGTARGACATTCATCCTTCAAACAGGAGATCACAGCCAGCAGCAGCTTCAGCTCTGATGTCTGAGACCTGCTTCATGAAGAATTAATAACAGGCTGATGTTTGCTACTTTTTTAAGGTAAGCAAATAAATTTGCACAGGAAAAGAAACAGCTCCTCTCTTTTCTTTTTTAAGGGCAATAAAGAGGCATTTATTTAAGGCTGATCACAGCTGTCATCTTGGCTACAGGAGCATAAAGAGAGAAACTGTCACTAAAATTGTGAAGAAGAAAAAAAGCATAAAGACTTACCCATCATCAGTCAGAGAGGGGGAAGAGAAATCCTCCGTGGGGAGAGAGAGGGAAAAGGGGGTGAAAACGGTTAAAGAGTGCTCCAAACTGCGCTCAGTSCCTTCCTGCAGCCCCACAGTCGCTCCGCATGCTCAGAGCCAAGTTTCACCCCCCACGGGTCGGACCGAACCGGGCCGGCGTCCGGACGGGGCTCCGCGGCGGGACGGGTGCGCGCTGGGGTCCAGTTCACGTCAGTCCTGCTGTCTGTGTGTGCACAATTACACATATGAGCGCCAATGAACTGATGCACGTCCCTCTCCACGCGTGCGCCCCCCTCCTCCTCTCACTGCCCCCTCCTCCCTCCTATCTCTCTTTACCTCAGTCCAGTTCTCAGGAGCGTGGGCGTCCCCAGGAACATAAGCTCACCGCCTGCACGTGGAAAGCCTGGTATATTATTTAGTGATTGTGAGGTTTGTCAGTTTTGGCTGTTTGTGTTTTGTGTCATGACGTCACGTGTGTGAATGAAAACCAGAGATGATTTTAAAAATTGAAAAGATTCACTGGAGATGAGGTCTGAAGATGAATCACCATCCCTCTGATTTAATTCATCATTTCAGACATATATTCAGCAATATTTTGGGTACTTTAGGTGGAGTTCTGAGAAGTTTTTAAGAGTCATTATCTTACCTGTTGTGGATAGCTCATTGAACCATTCCAGTCTCTAACAATCCATTCTGGTTCACGTAACTTTACCTTATTAACCCTTACATATCTCTTCTGCATTGCACACTTATTGACACAGAACTGTGTGTATTTGTGAATGCAAATAATTACAGCAACAGAATGGGCAAAATGGAAAATGTTCAGACTACTTCTACTGAAACAGCAGTTAAAGCAAAACTGACAAAGATGTAACAGCTCATAAAATAGCATTAGCATGAGCTGTTTTTCAGACTGAATGTGTTGAATACGATTTTACTTCAACCATTTTTTGTCTCATTAGTATATTCAGTCACACAATTACAGCTGGAGATTAGCACCAGCTCTCACATAACCCTGCAAGTATGACGATGTATGTATGTATGTATGTATGTATGTATGTATGTATGTATGTATGTATGTATGTATGTATGTATGTATGTATGTATGTATGTA